CATTATTATTTGCTTCCATATTTAAAATATAAATCATGTCCTTTTAAATTCCAGGCCTTCACAGTTGCTATTAGAGTTGCGTTCCTCGGAACTATTCTTACAAAAGAATTAAAAACACCAAAATACAAACTCTTGTGAAATACAGGTATAAGGATATAAGGAGAGGAAGACTCCCACTAAGTCGAGCAGCCCGGGATGAGTCGTTTTAAGAGGATGTCGATAAACTCTTTGAGATGCTGGAAAGACTCATCTCTGTCCAGCAGGCCCGAAAAGAAAAGAGGGAGCTACCTGACCCTCCACTACTGCCACAGTTTGAGCCACCCTTGCAGCGAGAAGATCAGGTTTTGCCCTAGTACAACCTTGCTCCTCCACCATATCATCTGGTACCGCTGCAATATAATGCGGTGCTCCCTCTATATTACTAGGTGTCGCCACAGGGCCACCGGGTCTCTCTCCAGCACAATCCAATCCCTCTTCAATGGGACCCGATTCCACTCATAATGAACTCAGACTACATTGAAATGTATAAGAGACTAAATTTATCTACCTTTACAGGGGCATCCTCTTTGAAAATACCGAATATTGGTTAGTTAAGACAGAAAATGCTTTCACAACTCTTGGAGTGATTCTTGAACAGAAGGTTGTACTTGCCACCTATATACTCGTGGGAGAAGTAGGTCGCTGGTGGCAGCTCAAGCAGGCCACCATGCCCATTCCAGTCACTTGAGAACAGTTCTTGGTGGACTTCAATGCAGATATTCGAATTTATTGTCTTCATAGATTATTTTAAAAAACTCGCAACGTTAAATATGGAATAATTATTTTAAAGTTAAATAAATTTACTCAAATTAAGATATTCATTAGTTATTTTATGATTTTTACCAACATTCGATTTTCTGTATCAGTGATTATCGTGATATTCTTACTGGATTAGTATAGCTCACCATTCTATTAACCATTTTAGATCAAGAAAATCAAGATCCAAATCCTAATCAGTAGGAGGGTTGTGAGTAGATTACATTCCGTACCCCATCAAGTGATAATGGAGGTTAACCCCTAGGATATGATCAGAAATAGAGCTTATCAGGGTAAACGCAGCACTGTTAAGGAATAGAGCATGCCAACCCGAATTTGTAACCACACGGTCCAAATGTTCTTGCACCCAATTGTCAGTGCCCTGACCTCTCTCCCAAGTATAACTATACCCAGTGCACTGAATATCATGCAGATCACTCTCCCGTAGGGCTTCCCTAAACCCTTCAATAAGATATCTAGGATGAGTCGTGCTTCCTCTCTTCTCCTCTTCCCCCATGATGCAATTAAAATACTCACTCATGACCTACGATAAATTACTTCTTCTTAAGAGAGCTTTTATCATATTCCACGAGCTCCTCCTTTAGGCCCTATTTGGTTGCCCATAAAAACTCGTCCATCTCCATCAAAGGCCATCCCTCCTTGTGATGATTGTGTCAATACAATTTTGTGAGTAAATAATGATCTCTAAGTTTGTGTTTAGTTTCCAAAGCACTGATAAACCACCTAACTTATCAACTATGAAGCAATTATCATACCTAATTCTTTGCTTAACTTCCTCCATCTTGCTATTAATTAATAACGTTTATATTAAAAAGAAAACATCTGGTTTATAGCATAGGCAAATATCTATCAAAGCTTGTATTGTACGAGGGTTGCCTATCCCTTGACAATTCCAGGATATCCACTTCGTGGTTCCCAGTGGGCCTGCGTCGCTAGGCCGACCGATTGAGTTGGACTTATAGTTTCAACACAATCCATTGGATTGGAAACTGTTGGAACCATGGATGTATAGTTCCTGGGCCTTTTCTTGCCTTCGTCAATCATCATTGGGCTTCTCTCATCTTTATGTTCTGTCCCTTGAGCTCGTCCCCGGTCCCATTTACTTCCTCCAATCGTTCCATTTAAATTTTCCAACGTAGGATTTACTGGCGAAACATCCTAACTATTTATATTTCGAGATCCTCTTTGCAAAATCTGCCTGTTGTTTCGTTAAAAAATCGTTGTTTCCATTTGCCACTTCCTCCCTTTGCGAGTAACTATGCAAAGGCGTATTTTGGCGGGCTGCCGCCCAGAGGGAAACATCCCACTCCATCCTTTTCTCCTCGCCTCGTTTCTGGATTTTCTCTCGACAGTAACTCTCATTGTGTCCTAACTTCTCACAGAAAAAGCAGAAAGTTGGAAGTCTTTTGTATTTGAACATGGCGTAGAAGACCTCCCCTCGATTATCCACAAATTTTTTCCTCCTCTTCAAGGGGTTTCTGACATCTAATCTGACCCTCATGCGCAAATATTCTCGAATACCTTGCTGTAGGAGTTTCGCATCATATGGAGTGAAGTCTCCAAATTTCTTTGCCATCCCCTCAGTGTAGAAGCCGGACGGAAGATTGTGAATCTGGACCCATTTAGTAGTATAGACCAGGGGTACTGTCACCGGATCCTCCCCCCTGCCAACCTATGTAGCATCAACAAGTGTCTGTTGAATGTCCATGGCATGCCTTCCAGCACCCTGACAACGTCCTCTTCGTAATAAAAACGAAATAGGAACCTCTTCGCCCCTAGATCTGTGATACTGATTCCCCTTACTAGATGCCATAGGTCTGCAAGATTTGTTCTCGTAGCTTAGAAGTTTATCGTGCTTAGGGTGATAAAACCCCCCGGACCGAACACAGGTCATACTCATTTTCTTATTCTGTTTCTAGTCCTGTTCCATCCCAGACCTCCTCCTCCTCCTCCTCTGTTATCGTGAGCACCGGCACCCGAGACTCCATATTACCGTCGATATCACCGCCGCCATTACAGAAAAAAAAAAAAACAAAAAACAAAAGAAAGCTACAGAGAGCTTGCAAAGAAACCCATTTGAAAATTTAATTTTAATTTTTTTTTTTTACCAAACTTAATGAGAATATTAAGCATAAAAGTAATTTGGAATTTATTTTATTTTTAATAAAATAATAGTTCCTAGATGTTTAGGTATAATTTTATTAGTCATGTGCCATTATTACCTTCATTTAATAAATTTATATTTGATTTTTTAAGATCAAATTCCGTGTGTTGAAAAATTCAATACCAAACCTAAAATCTTATTGAATTGAGAAACTAAAATTGAAGTCTTATGATCAGTTTATCAAACGCCGTCTTTATGTCAAGGCTGAAGCTATGTAAGTTTTTCTAATTAACTCGAACTTATATCTATACAAATAAGTTATTGATTTTGTCCTACCTGCTCGTTGTCAAAAGAGTCAGAATTTTAAATCTTTTTTTATATATCATGTTGTATTAAAATAATAATATAATAAAATAATTTATAAATATATCAATAAAATAAAACAAAAGAGCACCTATAATTATATTTAAGAAAATATACGCGTATATTTTTAATGTGTCGGAAATCGATATATAATTTTTAAAAAGACTAATAATATAATTATATTTTGAAAAAAAAAATCATCTTCAATGAACTGATTCAGTAGTGAAAAATTTTTTAGATTTCTGAATCCAGGTGTAAAAATATGAAAATCTGGAGATGAAGGCAAATTGTTCATTTTATTTACAGTGACAGATAGCAAGAGAATAAGGCTGACAGGAATTCTTCCCAGCCCCATCTTCTGAGTTTCAATTGATCTTAACAGAAAGTTAAAAGCATCTATATACACATTCACACAACCCCGGAGGAAGTAGACAATCAATGAAACAACTATGGATCAGCTTTGCCAGCTACTTCTTCCTCCTCACAAGAATCATACTCGTCTTCACTCACCTCTTCGTCACTTGATTTTTCTTCTCCCTCCGCAGCTATGTCTTCCATCTTTGCATATTTCTCGCAGTAGTCTGGACAATTCAGTCAGGAAGTCAGTTTTTCCATTTGCACAAACTGAAATCACAAGTTATAGATCAAGCATACAAAATGGAGCAAAGTGATTACTTTCTTTACCAATGGTTATCTTCAATGTTTCC